TGAACACAAACAAAAGATTAAAGTAACATGGAAAGGAAAGTAGCAAGAATACCAAAGTGCAAATGCTTGAAAGCTCTTGGTAGCCTCCCTTTTCCAAGCAGTGAATCTGGAAGCTGGAGGCCATCAACGGGAAAACCTTGAAATACCACGTGCAAACGTGCTCATGGAGATCCGCACACTGGAAATCTGCAACACCACATTTGCAAGAAGAACTGTTTCAACAGGACTAAAAGTTATCACAGGAAGTCTTCCAGGAATGCGAGTACTATGAGACAGCAAAGGACAAAACGGTGAACAGCTATCCAACCTTTCTGGAGACTGGGGCTGTCCATTCTTAGAAACAGTCCTAGCACCAGCAGTAAGCAACAGTCTCACCCCACAAAACGCTGCTATTTTTAGTCTTCTAAATAACCCCGTTCTTCACAAAAAAAAAAAAAAAAAAGAAGAAGAAGAAGAAACAAAAAGAGTTAGCTCCTCCATTTCTTCTCACTAAGCTAAAGATCCCTCTTCAATCTGACAAAGCGGAATTAATGAATCTCTCTCTATCTACTCTTCCACTCTCCAGGCTTAAGTTGAAACTCTCTGTTGGCCTCACGACAGGAATATAAGCAGCCTGTTGACACCTGTCTTTTCATTGCTACTAGCAATTATCACAGAATGGCTTTATTGCACCTGTGGCAGTTGGTGACCCTGACTCCAGAAGGAACTTTTATCAGCTTCTATGCTACAGGTTTTAAAACATCTGCTTGTTGTGAATGCACCCTGCACATCGCCAGCCCCAGAAGAGGAGCTGAACTTCTGCAAAGCAGCAAGAAGAAACCGCAGTCCTTAGCGCAGGATGAAGCATCATATACGGGCATCTTGTCCACGCATCCAAGTCCGTTAATGGGTGTACCCTACGAGAAGCTCTCTTCAGAGCAGGACCAGAGCCGAGTGCCAGGCAGCAAGGAATTGCAAAGCACGTACCATTGAGCATGCACTGGGCACAGTATAATTTCCTATAACCCCGCGTTTTCTGTACATTAGCGTAGCGATCTCAACTAGGAACAGAAACCTGCAGTTTCTTTGGGAGGTTTGTGTCAAAATGTCTGTTCCAGCTCTGCGAGGCTGTGATAGAGTGACAAAAGTTTGATCCATGCCTTTTGATCACTGATCCAAGCAGTTACTTGGAAATATGTACTACTTCTTAAGACATCTTTAAAATTGTATTAGAGTACTTCGGATTACAGTAATACAGCAACCTTAAATTCAAAGGTAAGGTCCGTGCTGGTGTAAATTCTAGAGACTCCAATGGACTTTACATCACTGAGGCTTTGCCTTCCGTATCTCCCCACTAGTATGATTTCCACAGATTATCTCAAGAAAATCTATTAAGCCGCAAAGGACTGAAAGTTGGAGTTTTCCTTTCTTTCACATAATCTGCAGCATTAGCCTCATGCTGTAACAATTTGAGAGTTATTTGTAGAAAAGTACCAGGGCTCAAAGGGGGAAATGAAGGTGTTTAAATGAAGGTTCAGAAGGATGCTATTTTAAGAGGTTGAATGTCAGCATGACCTCTAAGGGATAGAAAGGCAGGTTACTGGACAGCTACAAGGCAGATTCAAGAAGGAAGTAGCGACTGGTGATGTATAAGATAAAGGATTTTAAAATCACCTCTGGTTATTCAGTAACCACTGTTTTTATGAGAGATCCTGCTAGAGCAAATCCTGAACCCTTGGACCAAAACCACATTACAGCTCAATTCCTAACTTTGGGAAGCGGTGCAACGACACATCTTCTCCTGCATGGTTCACAGAAAGGAAGGAAAAGACAAGGTTCCTGTTTATCAGCCTCTACTTCTCTTGGCTCAGTTTATCAGTCAGCTTTACCAACCAGACCTGGGCGCTTTCTTCCCCTGCAGTGCAAAAGACTTTAAACTTAGAAATGAAGAGACTTCAACCCCCCAAAAATTGTAATTCTGAAGTGCTCAACAGCCTTTAATTCATTATGAACCTAGAGGCAGAGAAAAAAAAAATGCAAAAAATACATCACATCCTTAGTCTATGGAAAAAAAAAAATCAATATTTTTATAGCACATAATCAGACACTTACAAATATATTTCACTGGAGGAAGGGGAGGGTAAGAATGTGCATTTCCTATTTCCTTTGCAATAGTCTGATGCACAGAGGCCATCAACATGGTCATTATAGATAATCTGCACAAGTCATTCCTAAACCAAAAAGGAGGATTTAAAAATAAACAAAAAAAGGAAAACCCCAGCAACAAGGAAGGGCATTCTACAGTTCCAGATTCACTTTTAAACATAACTCATCATCTGAATATGGGGTGAGGAAACACACTTTGTTTTTACAATATAAATAGTATTTGTAAAGGTACTACATATGAATACAGTAATGGTGCTATTTCAGTCAGGACTTGAACATGCAGAGGAAATTCCCCATTGCTCACAACCACCCGTCCCATCCCACCCTGCCTCTGCCCCTCCAAAAAAAAAAAAAAAAATCCTCTGCTGTTTAAATTCTCTTTCAACTGTTTTAAATATTTCTCTGTGGCCTAGCAACTGATAAAACATCCTTTCTTCTTCTTTTATACAAGCAAGTTTTCTGCTCAATTATGTCTTAAGCGACCGGAGACAAGCTGTGTAGGAGTAACTGCTACAGAGGTACAGCCGCAAACGAGAGAAAGGGCTTCACCTAGGTACTAATTCTTCTCACCAAATGACACATCACCTGAGGCCTTTAAGAACCTTGCCAATTGTTAAAAACTTCTATTAGTCTCTCAGTTTGCTTTTATTTTTGGAGACACCTATTCAAAATGTCAAAACTCAGAAATAAGAAAAACCCTGTTTCAAACTTAGAAACACGCACGCGTGCACACGCACACAGACACGCACGCCCAAAGAAAGTAACCCGTAGCAGAGGCAGGTAAGAAATAAAGGGAACTCCAATTCTCTCAAGGGAGAACAGAAACTAAAACCAAAAATTGCTTTACTCTGTTTCCACTCTTTCACTCGGACAGTTTAATATCCACCGAGCCTCTTAAGATGCTAATCTACCATCTGCTAGCCCACAAATCCTTCCCACTTATTCCCTTAAAGATCCAACGATATCGTTGCTGAAAAACCTCTCCACAGAACAATGACCACCTTGCAAAGGGGCTTAAGAAAAAAAAGGAAAAAAAAAGGGAGGAAAAAAAAAAGAATACAGTTCTTTGCTGTCCAGTAATTTCAGGGAATTAAGTGGAAAAGACTGCTGTGCTGCATTCGGCATAGCTCTGCTATCTCACAGTGGCTGCTGGCAGGCCAGGACATTTAGGCGAGCGGTATGACGTGCCCTTGTTCCCCCTTCACCCAAACGTCCCCCTTCACAACTCTGCACTAGGGCTGCACTTTTTCTTTCCCTCTGAATTGATAAAAATCCTCCAAAGAAAGTGGAAGACTTTCCAGTGACTTCAGCAGGGTTTTGGGTCAGGCTCTTTTACAAAACACTGTTCCATAACAGCTCTTCAACTGGAGGTGATTTTCAAGCGTTCGAGTGGGAGCTGCCCACTCAATACTTCAGGATTTACTTTTGCCTTTAATAGTCGTTCAGTCCTCAGTGAACTGAGTCCAATCAAATGAAGGGCTTGCATTCCTCTTCCCCAGAAGTATCTCAAAGGCTCAGTCTTTACTCAAGTAAAGGATGTCACAACAAAGATGTTTGGGGAATTTCTTCTTTAATAGGATAAAAGAAAAAAAAAATACAAACACCTCCCAGGCTTCTGTCATGGAATGATTCTCACAACCATAAGGAGCACAACTCAGAAAAAAGGAGACAAAGAAAAGAGAAAGGTTCCTATGGGAGACATGCCTACCAGAGCGTGCGACCGATCCCTTTATGCTCTAGTCTGCAGTGGGGAAGGGGAACGGCTCGTGAAGCAGCTAACACAAAAAGCAGCAACAGAACACTTGCCAAAACGGAGTGGCATATTTTAACTGAAAGCCATGCTGATTTTTAACTAGAAAGCAACTGTGATGGCAAAGATGGGGAAGGAAGAAGACAAGAAGGACCAAAACCTGGCCGTTTCTTCCCTAAGTCCCTTCCTGGTGACATGGCAGAAATGCGCGCATCTATCACATGTCTTTAAACAGAACTACCTGTAAGAAACATCCCAGCTATGAAATATTTCTTTCCCCATCTTCCCCAGATTACAAAGAAGATAGTGTTTCTTTACAAAAAAGACTTCCCAGGACACCTGCTCTTGCTCTCCCCGTCGTAGTATTAGTCACATTTCATTTGGGGGTGGCAGGGAGGATTTTATTTATTTTCTGGTTTAAAGCCATAATCTAGAAAAATGTTTGTGGAAACTTTCATTTTCCTATTTTTTGTTTGCATTTTTTTTAATAATGCTCATTCATAGAAAACTTCACAAAGGTGACTTATATGTACAGAAATCACAATTCCAAAGGCTGCTTCAGTAGTCAATGAAATAGCACCTTTAAAGACAAAAGAGTTTGACATGGTTTAAAAAGTCATTTTGTCAAATTTTAACCCTTTCCAAGCCTTATAAAAAGGAGCCAGTCACAGAGCTCCATCAGTACAAACTCTTCCAAAGTCTCCATGTGAAATGCTGTCTGGAGGGGTTTCAAGCTCCCTATTCTATTGGTCAGCAACAAGTCTGGCAAAGTAGAGGTAGCATGTAGCCAGACAGGATTTTCTCGCAGTTCAAACCAAGAGTAGATGAAAGGAATTCACAGCAGGCTATTGCACAAGGCTGGCCTTCTATTCCACAGTTTCCTGGTTATTTTTCCGCAGGGTTGAAAAGGGTTAATGTCGTATTTAATGAGTCCTGGTTAAAACATGTTGCTCTGAGTTCCAGGCTGGTACTGCGTCTGCAACAGGCTCTCCATAAAGGCCAAGTAATCTGGGTTTTGTCCGTAATCTTCAGGATTCCTTGAATTCCCCACCCGGGGGCGCTTGGCTGCTTTCACTTCATCTCCCGAAAATACGTCTTCCTGAGGGGCCCCAGTGCTGAGGGACTGCAGGAGACATGAAAGTACAATCATTAGAGGCACAGCAGGAAAACAGAGATACGTGCGCAAACTGTTGAGCACACCTGCTTAACAAGACAGCAGGGATAACAAGGCAGCGAACAATTTGGTACAGAGTATCTCTGCAGCAAAAAAAGTCAACTCCAAAACACGTAAAGCACAAGGCTGAAAGAAAAATCTCTGAGCTTCTGAAACCAGACTGGAAAGAGGAACCCACAAGCCAGCTGCCTTCTGTATCAGAATATCTTTCACTTCAGTTCCTGCCTTGCCAAGTCACTGTTTATTCCTATCCTCCTCTGTCTCTTCAGGTTATTCATTCCTAGCAGGAGGCACACGGGAAATAGGGGCTTCCCTGATGTCATTAAAAAAAGCCCAAAGAAAGCGGCTGGGGTCAAGATCACTATACGAATGATTGCTTCTGTTCACGTTGCTCTTACACTGTCAAGAGAGATGCATTTCTTGGTAGAAATTATCTCCTATTGCTTTGTTCTTTTGTTCAGCTGTTCTGCATTAAAGCACTGTGAGCGTCACTTCCATGGAGCACAGTCTAACGCTTCTGGCAGCGGAAGGTACATAAGAAGAATCTTAGCTTTCAACCAGACTTGAAACTTTTTATTCATTTTCCATTATGCATTCCTTTTTCTCTGGAAGAGTTATAAAGCCTGACGGTCTCCACTGCAGTGAGTATATTTCTTTCGAATTTCTGTACTTCAGGGCTCCAACACATTGCCTTCGTTATTAGACAAGTTTAAATAAACTGGAACTATTGTGTACATCATCTATCTACTGGAACTATCGTGTACCTAGGAATCAGAACAGGATGCTTCTCTGCATTATTAACCCATAAAATTTATGCCATAAGGCATAACTGAGGCTTATTGAGACAAAGAAAGAAAAAAAAAAAAAAGGACGATAAGAGAGAAATCATCCAGAGCTACGTTATAAAGATTGTAAGCATTTTACAAACGCTTTTTGGGGTAAAAGCTTTAAAGATCTCATGCATAAGCCAACAAAAGTTTCCTCCAAACTAACATCAGTTGTTCCACATAACTGCCTGCTGCTGGGCCATTTTTGGGGGTGTGCATCTCACGCTTCTGCTAGTGGCCACCGAAAGGCAGGGCTCAGTGGATCACTGGTTTGATTTAGCAAGGAAATTCATACGCTGTTAATGAAAGGTTGAGTCCTGGACCTTCTCTCTTAGAAGAGACAAAACCCCACAACCTTACGACAGATTAATTTTGTGGATCATCCCTGTCATGCAGTAGCTGACGCTACAGATATTTAGAATGAAGAGGAGAACTGTATTCTCCACTGGCGTGGAATCCAAATTCATCATTTGTTTAAATGAGATGGCTTTAAAAGGTCAAAGCACCAGGTCTGAAAACACCCAGCAAATCCAGAACTACAAAAAGCTATGAAATAAGTCCTTCACATTTTATAGACTGATAACTCAGTTTTATGCAGTTAATGACAGGTTGATCTTTTAGATGAGAGCTTTATAGATAAAAGCTATGCTGTACATCTCTTTTTTGATAAGGAACAGAGGTCTGGTCCCATGCCACTACTCAGTTCTCTAGAAACCACTCAGCTGTAGGCCAATTCACCTGACTGATGAAAGACAGTATTCAGACAGAATGGCAGTCTATATGACTAAATTTGTGTATTATAGGGTGTAAAGTAATATGAACTTATTCTTTTAACCAGAGAACACAAAAATCAGGTCTGAATTTGAGAAAGGGAGAATCATTTAAATACTTCTCAAGTATTTACATCAAGGATTTCTTTAATTCTACATGTTTCGTGAACAGCTTGGGATTTTACAACCACAGAAAGCAGACTAATATCTAAACAATATGTTGAGAAAACGTGAATAAATACTGCAAGTCACAGCCATTTTCTTGTTTCTGTTATCGATACTCACCAGGCGAGACTTCACTCGCTTAGGAAGCTCTTCCTCCAAGGTATAAATATCACCACGCTTTACCATCAGTTGGGAACCATCTTCAAACTCCACCTGCAGGTATATAAGATGATGATATAAGAAGACGACCTCTACATATACAGTACTTGAATAGTCATCTATTCCTGGCTTATGCCAAGCATTGCCTCCGGCTGAGCCAGGCGGTGCAGCTGTAGCTGCTGAGGACAGCATGGCAAGCGCCCAGCAGGCAGGAATACCTGGGAAGCATCAGAGCCCAGCTCCTGTAGAAGGTTCACCATCCTCAGCACTGCATGGCTCTAGGATTGCTATTGTATGAGCCCTCTGCAAATCCCCACGCTGTGCTGAGGGCACTGAACCCCAAAAGGGTTCAGGAGGCGCTGAAGGCTCAGGCACTCCTGTCCAATCAGCTCCACGTGGTTGCAGCCAGTGCTCCTGGGGATCCTAAAATGGCTATGCTACATCTGGACCAGCATCTCATCTCCCCCTCTGTGCCAGGGCACTAGAGATTTCTACTGATTTTTGTTTCAAACCCTGAAAAAAGGAAGCTTTTCACTTAAAAAGGCAGTCCTATATTTGGGCCAATGTGTAATATGCATTTCTTTCATCTTAAACAAAGCATTTTTACACGCCATAAAGAAGCAACACCAGTTATTAAAATATATTTGTATTTTAACAAGCAGTAATAATCAGCCAGGTACAAAAAATGCTGGTAACTCCTCACGTCAAACCTTTTCCGCTAAGCACTGATTATATCATGAATTATGCATCAGATGTTACAGGAATGTTTATTCATGAAAGTGTGCATATAAAAATGTTAAAACTATTAAAAGTTTTTAAGAGAACCTCATTTCCTTTGCTCAAGACTTACTATGCTTTCCTGGATAATTCAGAAAAGCATGCAACACAGTTTAATATGGGATATCAGGTCTAGGCCGGACAAATTCAGCAGAAAGCCTCGGTTTTCTGAACCCTCCTTCTCCTGTGCTGCCGAGGTCTTTCAACCTCCTCAGTTATGCAAGGACAGCAACGCTTACTGAGGTCTCTTAACTGAGCAACATACATCAGCTCTAACAACTGCACAGCTGGGAGAACAGGCTTTGAAAGACGAGCTCTTCTGAGCCTCACTGGGGTGGTTTAAGATGTTAACGCTCCCGTTTATCCTCTGGTTTTACAAATCATTGCTACCATAACAGAGTCAGAAGGGAGCGTGAACCCCTTCTGCCATTCCCCCTATGTGCACTCTGCTTCTAGCAGAGGGGTGGATTTGGCAACTGAGGGAAGCAATGTCTTCAACTAATACAAAAAGACTTGTTGGATCTTGTTTATTGAAGTTCCAAATTTTTGATAGTTAGGTTAAGTCCCTGCTACAACACGTTACAGCAAGTTAAGATAGTCATTCGGGCTCAATTAAAAAAAAAAAAATGCACACATCTAATCTTAGCACACAAAATAGAGTCTTAGAGACTTGAACTGGGAAGCTACTGCAAAATGAGACAGGGCAAATTTAAAACACAAAAGCCAATCCATGCTAGCTTCCTATGAACACAATTTACACCAAAACTGCCTCTGGGTTGTTAAATATAATCCTATTTCCAAAACAGACAAAGAGATGCATCGTAATAATAGAAAAAAGTGTCGACAAAGGAAACCAATGTGGAAAGCTATTCAGGCCATTTTCCTCATGGAAAAGAGATTTACTTATAGGCAACTGCTTGATTTGAAAAACACAAACTTGTTCTCTTCATGCATATTTTTCTGTCATCTGGCACTATCAGTTGAATTGCCTATTTCAAATTATTTTGCTTTTGAGAAATCAATGACAATTTCCTATACTGTGATTAAACTGGAAAGCATACATAAAAATAGATCTTTATGGAACTATATATTGTACTTATTTACACCCAGGGTCACCTCAAATCCCATCTTCTCTGAAGCAGTTAACATCCATTATACACGCCATAAAGACTGTTAACTGATAACGTGGATTATTGTGCTCTTTTGCACACAGATACAAGATTTTCTAAATAGAAAAAATGGAAACTAGATCCCCCTGTTTCAAACAAATGCAAGATTTGGAATTTCCTCTGCCTTTTACAATTGTCCAGAGACATCAACCTCTTTAATATAATAATTCCTTGCAAATTCCAGCATGGGTTTTTCAAAAGGCTATGCACAAAGTACACTTTCCAAATCCCCATAATTTTCAACTTCTTGTAACTGTCTAATAGCGATTAAATCAACGAACGCAGTGCATCTTATAAAACCTTCTGTGCTGAAATGCTGACACTGTGTGCCAGATTAAATCTTCCTTTACTGATTATTTTGACCTTCTGCAACCAAAATCCTTTCCGTGGAACGGAACCCAAGACAAAAAAAAAACAGGCTGCTACTTTTTCTCCTTAAAACGGAGATGGTGAGAGCATTATGAGACTTGACGTTGAAGGCTTCCAATTCCTCACACAGCAGCAGCAGCAGGACATTATTCCCACGTGCTGCTGCTCCTCTGCCAAGTACCTTCCTACGACCAGGAGATTATTTCCCCCCTGAGGTAGTCTCCTGACCCAGCCTTTCCCTTACTTTCTCTCAAATTGTCAAGGAAAGTTTTAATTATGTAGATACTGACTCACTGGGATCTGTAGGTCGTGAGCTCGTTTAGCACAAGCCATAGAATAGCCATCAGAGAGTAGTCTGATTAGGTCACTTTTGACCTGGGTCAGATCGGAGCTGTTTTTCAGTATTCCACGAAGAAAGCTGAGCCATCAGCCATAAAACTCTTTTCCCACATTGGAGGCGAATGGCCTCAACACGTTCTCTGTTAGAGGAAAGCTCCTGCTTAGAAGCTTCCTGATGCTAGCAAATACTCGGTAGGGGAACACTTGCTACAGGACAAGGGAAAGGTTAGATTTTTAATTGAGATAGCTTCCGGAGACCAAGGTGTCTTTAAATAAGTGTTGTTTCTTTGTCTTAATAAAGGTGTTTACTTTCAAGAGGAAAGGCACCTCATGCCAAATAATCCTGTATCTGGCTGTAAGAAATCCTCTCGGTTTACTAACCCTTATTTCCTCTCTCCAGCTGGAAATTGCACAACCACAAACAAAATACTGGGCATGTTTTCCACCGTAAGGTAAACAGTAAATCTATTTTTTATTTTAAAATCAGATACAGTGTAGACATATCGTATATCTATCCACACATCCACATTCTGCCACAGAAAACCTTTAGCCCTGACCTTATTTTAACACTGTATTTCTCTTCAGACTAGCAGCAGTATTGATTTCAGAAGGCAAATGATCTCTTCATGAACAGAGCAAGCCTTCAGCATTAGTGAGCTAGAGAACTCGTGTAATAATCAGATACGTTGACATGAGGTATATGGGAAATCTCCTGTACCTACCTGATAAATCTGACTGATCTGGGCTGCAATAAACTTGGCTTTATAGATGATTCCATCTGTCCACTGCAGTTGAACCAACTCACCCTCTAGAGGGGGTCCCATTTGGATGCAATCTCTGCTCTGAAGAGACACAGTGAAGGAGGTCAGACAACCAACACAAATAAAGCTCAAGAACTAGTTCAAGAGGTTTGTTACAATCGCTACTCAAGGAGGTAGCTACATAACACTATAATTGACTATAAGAAAGTTTCTACACATGCAATTACTTGTGGTCATCTCAAACAAAAACATTAACCACAGAAAGAACAGAAATAAACGCTTGCACCTGCTTCTGGTGATGGCATTCAGTTCTAGGAAATTTATTACAAATCTCAAACCACTGAATCTCCTATAGCAACAGAAACAAGTAGGGTAACCTGCTCTGTTTCACAAGGTGAATCAACAGCGCAGCTAGGGAGAGAGGATACATGAATCTTGACCTTTTCTATATGTTCTCTCTGTTAAGCGCATCTCCAGTCTTGAACCAGAAATGCTCCCAGACAATCTGCTTTCCCCATGAATCAGACTTGTCTTGGGAAAATAAGAGATTGTTCAACCAAAAAAAAAAACCCAAAACAAATAGGATGCAACTTAAAACAAACATTGCTTTCTATTAAGTCATCTGCACATAGCAACAGCACATCTTCATAAAGAACAAAAGTCCAAAATAAGATCAAGTCATAAACAAGGAGGACAGTAATGAAGAATAGTATGTGTTTTGCTATGCAAGCAGCAACTTTTTTTTTTTTTAAAGTGTTTTTTAAGTTTTACTTTGTTGTTCTGCCCCAAAGCACACAGAAAGAACGTGCATTTTATGCTTTATACTCATCTATAACTGCAATAGCCTCCACAGAGAGCTGCTTACAGTAATGCTTTCTGGGTAAACGTTGTCACTGTAGGAACCATCATCAAAGTTTACTTCATAGAAAGTCTGTGTTGTCATGCCAATCACTTTACATCTGTAGTAGAGCCCATTCCGGTTCTTTGTGATCACAGTCTGTCCAAGGGTTACCTCCCTCCGAAACGGAATCTGTGGTGGAGAGAAAAGGGAATAATCAGCAACCACAAAAACCATGTCAGAAATACAGGCACAGAGAAACTGTGCCACAAAAAGAGTCTTACACTGTGGTTAGCTGCTTTATGTTTGAAGCAAGTGATGGACACGACATAGGGCCAGTCATCTGGTTCCATGGGTACTCCAGCAGCATGCGCGCAGGTCACGTGGAAGGAGGTGGAGCAGTGCTCGTATGAGCACTGGATGCAGGCACCAGATACCTTCTTCATCCGCTTCCGACAGTACACACATTTCTGAAAGAAAACCGCAGTGGGTCAACAGCAGGCAAAGACACAGTCAGCAACAGCTTTAACGCAACATATTGACACCTTGTTACCTGACAGAGTAGACAAATCTACATCCCTAGTTTTTAGAGCCCAGAAGCCACAGCCAGAAGAGGTGATGTTGCATGCTATGAGGTTAAGTCAGCTGTTTCTGCAATCGTTTGTTCACTTATATACGCTTGCCTAGAATCACTCATAAGCCAAGAAACTACGGCAACTTTTATTGGTATCCATGTTGCATTAGCTATATTAGATAACTCAGTCTCTGTTTGGCAAACAGAAAAGATCGTATTAAACCAAAAATTGTACCTTTGTACCAAGCATCAAAATCGGGGAAAAGAGGTATGAAATCTTTCAGTATTTTTTGGAATGCTTTTCTGCAGAGCAGATTTATTTATTACCCTAACCCACTTAGACAGTAATTAGTGGGCACAAGAAAGCAACTAAAATGCATGAGAGACTTTAAAACAGATCAAAAACAGTTTTCCAAAGCCCTCAAATAAGTAGTTTTGAAAACCATAAGCCTTAAGGCCCTACAGACTTGGAAGTGAGCATTAGGCGTGCTCCTTCCATAAGAGCACCAAATTATTGTTTGCAGCCCCTCAGGAATACAGAGCATCAGAGTTTAAGAATCCCAATCTGAAAAGGGACTTAAGTTGGGCACTTCACTTACATAATACTCCAGGGAACTATTTGGAAACGTCATTTTTAACTTTTAACATCTTTAAGTCTAGTGAAGCTGTCACTGAGGGACGGCAGGACCTTACCTTACCCGAGGCTTAGACACGGCAAATCAGGGAAAAATGAGTATCACACACGGAGACAAAGAACACGCATATTACTTGTTAGAATGAATGGTGCTGTTTAAAACAGCCCATATAAATAAAATCCTGGGAGATATTATATGCCCATGAATCTGACTATCCAGCTATGGAATTTAATTATTACAGAGAAAATCTCCATAAGTAAGCAGGGGAACAGGGGAAAGCAGTAATTTTTAGTGCCCATTTCTAGGTTACTGTCTCCAAAACACACTACATTGGTTTGCTCCAGCCCTCCCCCCCCAAGCTTGACTGCCTTCCCTATCCATCCGCTCATCTAAATATAAATGTCCTATAAATATACTATGATACTATGAGCGACAGACTATTTTTCTCCCTCTGCAGCGTCTGATATCAGAGTCTTTCTTCCCCTCTTCCAGGCTCCACTGCCTTTCTTGTTTACCTCATTCCCATTAAAGCAGCGCTCAAAGTACGCAACGTTACAAAACTCGTGACCTAAATTGCAAGATCAGTACGAATTACTACATCCCCTGGGATTAGCGATGTAACGTAAGCTGCCCAAGATCACACACTAAGCCTAGACAACTCCCAGAAGTCCAAATTCATTCTGCTTCTACATTTGAGCTAACTTAAAAGTGCATCCGCAAAAGTATTAAGAGCAGTAACATACTATAAACTATCCAGTAAACGTAAAATAAGCATTGCCAAATTTCAATATTACGTTTTATTTGTGTTATCGTAGCACACAGGGACCTAGCTAAGAGCCAGGGCCCTCTGTGCTAGGTACACATGCTGCCCAGACAAATACAAGACCATTCCTTCCCAAAGACTATTTTTGCTTTTCCTCCAGAGCAAAACATGCAAAAGAAAGGGAGATGCTCTCCTCCTACCCGCTCCTTGACTGGGGTCTATCCCACAGGTATATGAAATAAGTCACATTCGTTTCTTGTGAATTAACTGAAGTCGATGCTTACGCCAAAGATTAATTTGGCCTTTTTACTTAAACTAACAAAAGCCAGGAAATTCAAAAGTCAGGGCCCTAGTGTTGCCAAAATGTAGTTTTTAGTGTTTAATAAGCTATGCCTTTATCGCTCTGTAAACCACGTTCAAAAGCTAGATAAGCACCACAGCAAAGTGCACAGCAGGAACACAGCACTGAAAGCAAGTCAATAGCAATGAGATCTCATTATTAAACTGTCAATACCTAATTCTCTCGCCAGCAGGGACAAGTGCTGATATACAGCATGCTCAATACTGCCTCTCAAGGGAGCATTAACCCTCGAGTCTCAGGAATCTCCTTTTATTGATGCAAACGGTATTCTTCCGAGCCTGAAGGATTAACATGCATCTAATGGCACCCTAGTGGCAGAGAAATTCCTCATGACAGGCAAAAGAGCTACGCACAAGGAATATTCGGCACAAACATGAACAAAGGACAAAGTAAAACGTGAGCTACAGAGAGACTGAAGCGTAGGAGATGGTGGAAAGGGTGGAGAAGTCAAAGACCTAGAAGCGTGGGAGATGGGACAGAAGTACCAGTGCTAAGTGTTACAGCAAAGCAGCACACACGTAGGCTTAAAAGAAATTTTCTGAAGGAGGGGAGGTAGCAGAAAGAGAGAAGGTCTGAAGCACAGGAGGAAAATCTTCACTATAAATGCACACCAGAGAATCAGATGACAGCCGAGAGTAAGAAACGGGCTGTCTCCTGCATGATGAACACTACAATTCATTTACTCCACTAAGGAATGACAGCTAATTATTCCAAATTTCCACGTCATAAATAATTTACACACAGAAGCCCATAATGCACCATTAATCAGGAAGCACGCAAGCTGCATTCTTAAAAATGATGCAGTGCACACAAATGAACTGAAAAGCCTGTGCTCTACAGCAGAAGCCTGAGGCATGCTTGCAGACCAGGGAATACTCTTCAGACAGGTCACCGCAACTCTTTGACCATGCCAGGCCTCTTGTTGTAACTTAAAACAATGCAAATACTAAAAAAAAAAAAAAAAAAAAAAAAACCTCCAAGAAAACTTGAGGTGCAAATGGAACGTAGTACTGAAGAAATCAACAAAACTATCAACTTTTAATTCAGGAATGAAAAAGAAAGCTGTGTAGAGGTTTTAGACGGAATAGCCAATGCTTCAGAACAAAACACAGCAAGCGTCACATAAATTAATATAGAATCTGGTTCTATGGAATTGCAAGGTAGCCACAGAAGAGTTAAAAAAAAATTAAGTCACAATGTTTCCTTGTGAGGCTCCATTAAGCAATACAAGTGAGTCTTGTGTAAAAGGATTTTTAGTTCATCGTTACAAGCGCTGGTAATGAAGAGGATGCATGCTGGAAATGTCAGACGATCCATAAAGAACCAGCGCTGCAGGATTTATCGCTCTCACATCACACTGCTCCATCACTCTACCTGAATAATGAATGCTTTTTACATTCACATTTGTGTACAAAACCCATTTGCACAACAGAGAAATAACTCTAGAAGCAGACAGAGATTCTTCCTAATCTCTCATCCAGGCTGTGGCTGGCCTGCCTGCACTAAATAGCTGCACTGTTAACAAATACATCAACGCTAGCCAATGCATCACTGCTAACATCACCTTCCCCCATACCCCACTCCCAAGTGACAGCCCAACTGACTTCGGTACGAAAAAAGCCACAAAAGCACAATTTATTTTGCAATAACACACTACAGCGATGGGGCATTAACTAACATGAAGATTAATTGGTCTGAGCTAATGAATCATCCATTACAATCCCTCCAATGAGGCTGTTTGCAACTAAATAACAAGCTGTAACTGGACTTTCAAGATCTTTATGGAGTCTCACCTTACAGTCATGGTCACAAAGAACGTTTATTTGTTTCTAAAAGATTTCTTGGACAAAGAAACATTTCAAGGAAAGCTAAATCAAATTACAGGTTAGCACCTATCAGCAGCTCTCTAGTTACTGTTTCCCTTCATGCTGCTGCCTTGCAGTAGTTTCAGTGAATGAAGCTTTTAGGTAGCTTAGCCCTGACTGAGCGGTGGGTAAGCACTGTAGGCTCTACACAGGGTAAGGGCACGCTCCTAGAGAGCAAGGTAGATTTGTTTGTGCGTCAAAGCTCTGAGATAACGCTTCAGAAGACATGCAAATGATACTGCTTCCTGCTGTGCTCATGGGAAATAACAGCAAGAACATCACCTCCAATCTCTGCTGCTTTATGATTTCATACACCGTGTAGTATTTTTCTGTCTAGTTAAAGCTCTTTTCCTTGCTTTCAGTCACCAACATTTGCTACATAAAGACAAGAGACACCTACCAGTTTCCATCTTTGCTCTGGAATAGCACTGATATCCACAGGATGACGCTCTATTACATTGAGAAAACGGGCCTCAGGGACAGCAATAGCACAGATTATATGGATCCACCTGGGGGGGGGGAGGGGGAGAAATCAGAGAGAAACCAGAGTCTACCACTATTTGAATTATCTCTTTAAACCTACAGTATATTTTTGAAACACTCAAGAGGGCAGTTAACATTTCTCCGACTCCCTCATCTACAGTATCAAAGCATATTTATGGTGCTTGGCAGCCTTGGCAACATTACAAACTGACTGTTAATCATGATTGCACAAGATAAAGGTCTCTGGAACAACTGGGATCAACTTCCTTTCTTATGCATCTGATCTGGCATGATGCTAAACATTCTCTGAAAAGATTTTTCTCTGAGAATCAACCAAATTTAACAGTGCCGAGAGCCACACTGTTTCTGCTGCTGAAAAGACTGTTCCAGACTATAAGACAGCAGAGCTATAGGAGCTCACTCTGCCAATTTAGTGAGTGGCAGTTATGTCCATAATGCCAAATTTGAATGTTACGTCGAGCATCAAAACCAAACTCAACACTAGAATATTAGATGCAATATGGAAGCACAGAATATTTAAAAACATCACTTACCGCCCATCAGTGGTCATCTGAAGAGCTCCTCCCCTGAGATTACACAGGCAACATTCCTGTAGCAACAGAACTACTTCAGAGCTGGACTGAAGAGGTAATCAAGGGGCTCCCAGACTGCCTACCGTTCCCAAAACTGACTACACCACATGTGGGACACACAGGCAAACCGTTCATTCCCACCACCCATCTCTGCTGAAGTATCTAATTCCCACATTAAGTTTTCTCGCGTCTCCGGAAGAGCAGATGCTTACCGCTGCCCACGCACCGGCTGAGCATCGCGAACAAGACCAACTTTCATTCACCAAATCGGGACGTATTCCGTAACAGCCTGAAAGAAATCAAGTTATTCCCTTCAGAGTTTTGCTAACACGTCTGTAATATTGACTTGTTGACTGCTCAATTCAGAAGCATCTTTGAAACCAAATGTAGCATTTGAATAACTATATTCAGCAGACTAAGCTTAGGCAAAGGTCATAAAGTTACCCTCAGTGGGGGGGATTTGGGACTGACAGGTCTTAAAAAGGACTAGCGTAGCAGTACTTTCATCCTTCAGACAAAACCTGGAATCCACTCACATGTCATTAACAGGTAACACCGCTGAATTTTAGCATGACGGAAGCACTCACGTTTGCTAAGTGGTATTATGAAGAAGGACAAAGCCAGTAATATCGCAATGAAATTAAAAACATGTATTTCCCATATTTTCCTTTAACAGTATCAAAACCAATATTAGCTTCAGGAAAAAGAAAGTGCTAGAAACATTTGACTTTGTAGAGCATCAATTTCTGTAACATGCAAGTACCCAATTCTCCTACAAGTTTATTCTCTGCAGCACCAAAATAGGAACGTGGTATTATTCCCATTACAAAGGCAGGAGAATAAGACAAAAAAGCCCTTAGAATTCTGTAAAAGGCACTGAGGTTTGCTGCTGAAGACAATAGGAAGAAGGCATATAAACACTTTTGAAAAATTGGATCTATGCCATGTCCCCAAGCTTGCAACAAAGTCAATACAGCCACAGAAAATTAAACATGGGTATCACAAATCGCTGGCAGCATCCTAGCTAACATAAAGTTCATTCCATGGCCTTAACCTGTCCTAACAGAATTGAATGGAAAATTTCAGCTGGAGAGGAAATTATTTAACATTCACCTTATTAAACTAAACTGAAAAGAAGATATTCAGGAAACACGGAATTTGCCATGATAGCCTGACTTACAAATATCAGCCACTTAACCAGATAAACATCATGTCAAAAAAAAGTCAATAATATAGATCCATAGCTGTCTCCCATACTTGAAGTCTCTTTTTATCATCCAGCAAATCAAGAAAGCAGATTCAACCCCAAGCCGAGAAAAAGGATAGAGGCATTGCATCTAAAAATCCAGTCTGGAAATTGGGCTGAAACAGAAACGGACAGCCTTAATTAAAATACTGCTGGAGCTCAAAGCTGCGTGGAACCGGCTGAAATTCCAGTACTGATTTCTTGCTTCAAGTCCCAGGTAGGTGGACATGGGATATGAGGGGGGAAACAGTCAGGCTTACTGAACTCCAGATTCCCCTCTGCCAAAGATGCTAAAGAAACATGCAAAGTATGCTCTTTTCTTCAGTTTTGTCAGTACTTCAAAAGCCTAGAAACCTTCGCAGAAGATTCCTTCTCTGTATGTCCTTGCTGTTGTCACAGTCTATCACAGCTGGGTGAGGGCACTTCTAAATGAAATTTTAACATGTAGGTTGCCAAATGGTTTTACAGCATGCTGCCAGGTTAGCCAAAATACACCCGAACATTGCAATCCTATAACAAAGCCAAATAGATCCCCTGCAGCAAAGTCAAATGCATATCACTGCCTGCAAGTGCAGCGACAAGAAAACAACCAGCGACTCAAGACCACATCAGGCTAGAAGGCCAAAGTTAACTCCTACCTCCAAGGGCCCAGCACAGCTAAAACAAAAAAGAGCGCCCTACACCCTGTCCGAAACTGCAGATTAACATTACTTTGCCCACATGACTCTCTTCCCAAATCAGAGTTCGGTCACTGAAATCATTTCAATAAACCAGTCTATGGAATACATATGGATGTACGAGATGGAGCATCTCTGGTCTGATTGCAACAAAGACCACAACTTGTGATATAAGAAAGTCTTTATCCTCACACTCACTCTGCATCATACACTCTTGTTAGCCTGAAGTGACCATATTTCACAGATACAGGACAGAAACAAAACTTGCATGCTAGTTCTCCACAAGAGACAGCCGTGCTGAGCTGCATGGTGACCTCTGGTCTATAGAATTGGAACAACAGAAGTAATTCCAGTTGATGCAAGTCAAATAAAACTTCCCATCTGTCAAGATCAAACAGCTGAACAGTAATTTGCCACATCTCCTAGTACAAGTGCAAATGCTAACTAGACGTCATAGAATCTACAACGAAGGTACAGTCTATCAGGATTAATCAGATCTTATTTTAGACATAACTAGCAGAGAAACAAACAGACATATGTTCCTTTTTTGTAATCAAGTGCCATTCCTACAAGCAGCAACACAGACACTAATAAAGTATATCTCAGATACTACTCCATAATCTCTGATGCACACAAGAACAATACAACCTTACCCAACGGGCCAATATTTGAACATATGAAAAGAGTGCAATCAGCTTTGTGATTTCTGCTTTATTACAAAAATAAAAGGCAACATATATCCCACAGGAACAGGCTCCTTGTACTGACAGAGCATCAAAATAAAAGGATGGTAAGCCGAGGCACCCATCACAAATCAGATTTGCTCAAAGATGCCTGGTTTGGATGTTCTTCAGTTTTAAAACAGCAGTAATGCAAACCATAAGACCAAAACTAGTTAGGAGGAACTGCACACAGGAACAGCTAGGCTGCTCATGCTCTACTACAGTAACATGGACGTGGAAGCCCTAATGCAAAAAATTTTCCCCCTTTCTCTCTGTTCCCACTTTAGCTCACTTGGCACCGTTTAGTCTAAAAAGACTTTGAGGCACTTAGAGTGACAATAAAACACATTCTTCTAACTTTTTTTTTTCTAACTTTCCCTGATACTTTGACTAAAATTATTTACTGAAATTGAGATGTCTGCAAAATAGTTTGCTCAACTTTTTTTTTTTTTTTTGTAAACTAGCTATACACCTAAAACTTCTGCTCAGCTCCAATCTAGATTCAAGTTATCTTAACTCACAAGGGATCTAGAACATCTCCTTTCTGTTATCCAAGGAAGTTTATCTGGATGACACAAGTTTTGAGACAGAAAAAAGTTCCTTTTCCTCGCAGTACTCCTGAAACTGAACTACCAATCCGTTTTTGCTGAACCCGTTGAGAAGACCAGCGTGTAATAGATGTGTCAGAAAGAGAAAAGTGGCCAATAATTAATGGACTCTTCTCTAATAGATACTGTCTCAGCAGGAGCCCGACCTACTGCTGAAAACATTTTAAGGGCTGATCTCCTGCAGTTTCAGCAGCTACTGACTTTTGTACATGGGTTTGTTAACAGGGGATATTCCAAAGCAAGTTTGGAAGCGGAGGCTGACTTACTACATTAACTGTATCTCTTTTTCCTTCCTTTGCTATTTCCCTTGAGCTGGTTTTAATCAGTACCACGACCGATCTTCACACCCATGTAAGATGAAGATTTCTATTTAGCGCTCCCACATCTAGAGATGCCTGGCTATATTAACCTAGTTTCCTCGTGCTCCAAACCCACCAACAGAGCTTACAGAGCAAACATGTACATTTTCTATGAAACAGAGAAGAATCTCTGTCAGCCAGCACTACAAATAGTAGAAAGAATATTTGTATTTGTTACACGTACTGCCGAGACAGAACATACACACATACTAGCACCGGAAAAGGAAAAACTGGGAGTGACAGGAATAGCAAGAACGTCCCAAAGGAATTTGAATATAGGCAAAGAAACTTGTGATTTATATTTGAATAGCCAAATGCTTTGGTGAAGAAAGAAACACTCACTAGCATGAACCTGCAGGCAGCATTTGGCACAGGAGATCAGGAGGCTGGTTCCATCTTCCCCAATATATGAATTTGAAGGAAGGGGCTCTGTGTTTTCACCGCTTGAGGTAAAGCACATCTCTGGGATCAGAGGCTTGGTCTTTTGTCCGCACTTGGAAAGGTGGAGGAAGGAGGTGGTCTCCCCTCCAGAGACCTGGACAGCCTCTTTATCCATCTGTAAGGACTTAAAGAAAAAATATCATCATATGGAATCTTTCTTTTCCTTAATCACAAATAATTTTAGCCTCAAAGACAGAGGACTTCCCTTGCAAAAAAACAAAAAACAAAAAAACTCTTCCTTTCGTCCACCACCTGACACCACACATAATAAACTTAAACTCCCATCCTTTCGCACATACCCTCCCTCCCTGCCTTTTGCTCCTCTCTCTTCTTTAGGCATGTACTGGGATTTGTAATTTAATTTGAAAGCGCAAAGTAGTGTCAGAATAATGAAAAGCATTCCCCGTTTTTCTTCTGTAAAAGTGTAAACTTTTAGGGATCAAATCCCTAAACTGCAGCTGAAAACATCAAGATGATGGGGGGGGGGGGGGGGGATTAATAAAAGAATCTCTCCCCTCCCCCTCTCCCATCCTTTTGGCACCCTTCCCTGTTCTTGCTGCAAGAATTTCTCCAGAAGGACATTTCAAGGTTTCTGGTAGCAAACCAGAATTAAAAACAATGGATTAAAACAGCCTAGCTGTACCCAGTTTTCCTTACAATCATTATACAACAACATCTAGCAATCCTGGACTGACTTTTTATTTTTGTATAATAAATCAAGAGGTTTTGTTGGAAGGTGAGGTGACAGTTCTGCTTTTCTCAGAAAAAAAAAAAAATCTTTCAACACATATGTAAACACACATCTAACACGTGTATTCCTAGTGGACACGCAGAGCCGTTATTCGGCTGTATGGGCATGCAAGGATAAATCAATATTCAATTGGGCAAATAGCTAATTCACCTGATAAATTTGCCTTTCTGCTCATGACACATCCCAAACCATACTGAAAGTTTCCAAAAAACACGTATATGCTTACTGAGCAAACTTTTGTTTTGTTGCTTGTTTGCAAACATTCAGAAGTCCATGCACTTACCTAAACAACACCAGTCACATACCCTGTATGGCACTGTTTCTGTTCCCTGAATGAGCTACTATTTGCAGTGCAAAGTTTTGCATGTGTGATTTAAAAAATGAAAGCTGAATGCCAGGAAAGATAACAGAAAAGGCTCTGTGCACTGCTTCTGCCAGATCCAAACACACTGCTGTGGTGCACAAACCTGTGGAGTCTTCTCACTTTCTTACAAACGTCTATCACAACTTATGCAGTAGCCACCCATTTAGTACCCACCACTGATTCACGTATCTGCAGCAGTGTCAGGAATTACCTGGTTGTACGGGTAAAAGAGGGTACAGACAGCACAGTATGGCTCACTCAGGGCAGCAGCTGCATTGAATTTTCTCTCAGCCGGGAAATTATGTACTTTATTCTTCCACTGGAGGGAAAGTAAAGATTTCAAAGCCTCTGGGTCACTCACATCTTCCTCCCCAGAAAATGGAAACGTTTCTAGAAAGAAAAATAAAATCCCAAAACAACAGGAAATCCTTAGTATAGGCAAAACGCAGCAAGGTAAGGCAAAACGGCTGATGTTTCAACAATACAAGAATTTGAATAAATAAGGAAATTTAACTCATCGATAGTTCTCCATATCTGTATGTCTCAAATACTTCATTAAAATGAATATAATCTCCACTTTATGGGTAGGGTAGCAAGGTAGACACACTGACGGCCTGATGAAACTGGCCAAGAGAAAAACAAAGAAAAGAAACTAGAGATCTGTTGTCCTCCTAACTCTGTCCACTTTTTTAGTCACGGAAACCTCTAACATCCCTATAATGAAGCCAAGTCCAAAACGCAAGATACGAGTGTAACAAAACTGCCCTTTCCCTTCCAGGAGGCATGCCTGCAACTCGTGGTGGTCTTTTTGGTTAGGCTAGCTCCCAGGCCCCATCTGTCAGCAGCAAAAGTCTGTTACGTCCTTCACCAAGCACATCCCTTACCTGTTCCTACAAATAGGAGTCTTGGCCATGAGATAACCACAGCTCCAGTTTTCATTTTACTTTTCTGCAGCAAGTGCAAGTCGCTAAGCCTTCGATTTACATTCATCACCACCTTTTCTTCCATCAGAGCCCCAATAGGTACTGTTTGCACTAATTAGTTTACTAATTCTTTGTTTTTACAAAACCTTTAAAAGGCCCTTGGTATTTTATGATAAACCACCACAGAATCTATTCGTGTCAGTTTGGGGGTCCAAGTTTCTTACCATACATTATTAAAGAGTTTTTGAGTCACTATAAGTGTTCAAGAAATTTTCCATGCAAGACTAAGTGCAAATTGCTCACTGCATTGCCAATCTGCAAAGAGCCCAAAACAGCAGTTTTGTTCTGAGGAACTCAAAAACATCTTAGTGGAACATTATCCCCAGAGCCCAGCACATTAAACCAAATTGTGCTCCACTGTTAATTACTGGAAATACGCAGTTAATGTGCTGCTCTCAACAAATCTAAGCTTCTGCCCCATTCTTACCTCCCTTTTAAGATGTTCAGACTCTTGTGCTACGGGAAAAGGATAAAAGGAACTTGTAGTAAAACACTTAGGACTAAGCTTACATGTGAGATTTTAAGTGCTCCCCCCAGCTAATTTGATGCATATATTTGTCAGACAACATGAGAAATTTTACTGTGTTCAATTAATCAATTCTTTGTTGAAATTATGAACAGTCTGTGCATCTTTATCACGCTTAAAATAAGGTTTACTTCCTAACATGTGTCTTTGCTTTCTTGCTATGTTTTTACCTTGGACTGAAAAGTGGTACCCATAGGCTAGCAATAATTGTACAATAATACTAACAATATAGTATTATAACAATAATACTATAGCCTTTTCTGCGTTGCTGCATAGGATTCCAGTGGAAAGGGAGACAAACGGAAAGAGCCTTGACAGCGGATGAGAGTTAGGCATTCCTTCCTAGTAGGAAATTACGCTTATGCCATGAGCTGACTGCCAGTCCAGCTTGTATCAGTATCAGAGATGGCCCTCACAAGAGGGCAGATTTACGCAGAAGTGTTCTACAGTTGTAACTTCTGCAAAACATGCTTGCATGTCCATAACATGCATGAAGTACAACCACCATTGACATGAATTTGGGCATGTAAATCAATACTTTCAGGAGGTCTTATTTTCAAGAAGAGCTTACCACTCACCTTTTAAAGAAATCTAGCACCTTCAATGACATTTTAAGACACAAGCCAAAAGCAAACTACATGTTTCTCCAAAATTTAGTCAAAGCACACCTGGAGAAAGGCAAGCATTTATGGATTTAAAATAGCAGCAGAATCAATGAAAGCTGATGGGAAACCAGGATCATAATCCACAGTGAAAGACTAAGAAAAAAAAGGAAATGACTGTTGTATGTGATCATCACCTTCACTCATCCCAGGATGGATTCTAGGTCAGAAGTAGCATTCAGGATGGCTCCCACATTTCAAGCAAGTTACACACAGGGAGAGAAGGCTAACAATTTGTCTCAACTGAATTTTAGTGTGGTGTATTGTGTTCCCTTAATTTATATGCTCACTCTTCCTCACTGCAGTCTCCAGATCATCCTTATCCATTAGTCCTGAAAAAACAAGGAGCGCAGAGAGTTTCTTGCATTCCCTGGTGGGGAACAGAAGAATCTATTTGATCAGATCTTGCCCAATAGCACTGCAAATCAGTTCCCAAGAAACGGCAGTTTTCACAGAAAGTTGCTCCTGAGTCAACCAGCAAGGCCTCTGTACGCAACCCACAAGTCAAAACAGTGAAGAGAATCTGTCTAATGAGAATCCTTCAGTTCCCTGCGAGGTCTTCGCACCCAAATAAAAGGACTAGTTTCAACTGCCCTTTTAGGCTTCACTCCCCACCTCACATGTGCAAGAAATTGTATGCATCATCCCCGCTAAGGGAATGGAGCTGTGTATGTATAGTATATCACACACTGATACAAAAAGTTTCTTTAAAAATGAACGGATACATTCTCTAAAGAGGAAAAGGGAACAGGAAAGAGGCTGTCTTGTGCCCTTTTGAATATAAAGTTATAAATTCCTTGAAAGCAAGGACTGGCACCTACACTTTCAAGTAGCTGCCCCTGTGCAAAAGCTTCTCACCATGTACCTTTTAACATTAGGAGTATTTTCTACAGTAGGCAGGACAACAGACGCCATATATTACATTGTACTACGACAAAAGTGAGAGGCCAGAGTCCTTTTCTTAGTTTGTCCAGACTGCTAAGGCTTTGCAGTGACTGGAGGGTGAGAAAGGAAAACCAGTGATATTCAGTTAACCACTGAGAGACTTTCTCATCTGCTAAAACAGAAAAGTTAGACCCCCAACATTCACATGAATTACAATTAGAAAGACAACCAGAAAGTTAATACTAACTTTCCCTATACACTTAGCAGCAGACCTAAACTCCGCCTCCCTCTGAGGTGAGCAGATCTAATTCTAATGGAATCTCTAAAAGCAAGCTTTTACTTTAAGATGCTATTTTCTGTGAACTCTCTTCTTCCCTTTGCCCAAAATGCTGCCTCATTTTGCATCCAGCAAATATTCTTCTTCAGAGTAAAAGAGGGCAGGAGGTGAGGAGTGGCATCTCCCATGGATGCATTTGTTTCCGGATGAGTTATCAAAATGGGAACATGCTGCATTTTCTATCAGTTGAGTATAACACTAAAAGTTTCAGTCTATCCAATTATGTTAATAGCCACCTTTAGCAATTTTTCAGATTAGACGAGACACATAAGCATTCTTTACATCTAAGTGCACTCACCCTCATCACTTGAGGTCTCCTGTTTAACCACTGACAACGGGGAGCGGGTTGGTGGCTTGCCTAGTGGATGACGGCGACTTTTCTTTATCTCCATCTTCATTTTTGAAAAAGCAGCAGCAGTCTGAAACAAAGCAGAAGCTAGATGGGAACCCCCAAAGTCTCTTGGCAAGCAACGGAGAGAACAGAGCAACAGAGGCCGAAGCCTTCTCATAAAGAGAAGGATTTACACAACAAACTTTTCACTGACTTTTAGCTGGACTCAGTAAAGCCTCCTCAGGCAATTACTGTAATAGATAAAGCCAATGTTATCTCATAAGATGCTGGGTAAACTACAGTGTTTCCTTAAAACCAGAATAGCCTCAGAACAGTTTCACGTTTGACAATTGCATTAGTTTATATCTGGTTAATCGAATAAACAGCTAGACACCCTAGCATGGAAGTTATGTACAGTAAAACCGGAAGCATTTTACTAGATTATTAGTGTGCACCTTCTGACAAGCATGTTGATACTATACCCACTACCCCCTGTGCCATCCAACATTGTCAATACTGCATGTATCATAATCGTAGTGGCTCACAGCCCTCTGCTGAGAGGCACGTAATGCATCACAGGTCTAGTCTGCACTAGAAATCGACAGTACGACGCACTTTGGTTCACAGCGTGAAGACAAGCAGTTGTGCTACCACAGCATTACGAATGAAATCCAAGAACATGCCATGTTACATGCAGGAGTGAGCAGATGAAGGCACTGACAGCAGCCCATCATAGCCACAGCAACTCCCTTAGTGTTTCTCCTCTCTAGTCTGCAGCCTTTACGTCTTAGAAACATTTATGTAAAAGGTATTCTAATTGCGCCGTGCCTGTAGGACTGTGCACATTTCCCCTCTATCCCCACAATTTCTAACAGTGCCTTGCCATTCCCTTGGCTCTTCCATCAGCATCATGCAGAAAAACAAAGCTACATCATATAGCTCTGATTTGCTGCTAATTCCTGAACATTTTCCTGCTTCCTCTTTTGGAAACTGTCCTCAGGAAAGCACTCTCCAAGGGAAGGGATGCCTGCAATAGATTATATGTCAGGGACCGAATCGTCCAGGAAGAGGTTGTTCCTACCAACTTTTCCAATTCAAAGTCTCATCAAGAAAAGGATCCCTAGACAGCACTATACAGCAGGCCAATTCCTGGAAGCACACAGTACATACCATCAGTTGCAGATGTCAGAAACAAGAGAGGAAAAAAAAATTATCGATATGTCCTTGCAGTCAAAGTTCCCTTGGGGACTGATTTTGCCCCCTTGGAATGGTTGCTATGCAGTAGCAATGTGCCTATGCGGTGTCTTCCTGACTAATATTTGCGATGATCTTTCCAATAACATCCATATTGTTCGTAGGAGGAAAAGCCTCTATTTTATCTTTGAAGAAAATAACGAGTTTGATAAATAAGCTAACATAAAGGAATGACCTACATGGACTGTATTGTGAGAGAACAGTATCTTTTCCTGTAAAGCACTCTAAGGTTCAAAAAAGTGCACAATCCCACTAGAGACTCTGGCACAATTTAGCACTCCTAGTCATTCCATGTTGGTACCCAACTGGCTACTTAAAATGAGCAAATCTCACAGTTGCTCCCTTGCGCATACCTGCAAATCACTGACCGCTGTAGCAACCTCTGGATTTTCTGCTTCTGCATTCTCCTCCTCCTTCACAGGAATTTCCAAAGGGACTGTCTGCTCCCGCCATCCGGGACTCTTCTGCGTGGCAAACTGCTCAAACGCCTGCTGGCAGGACATGCGTTCTTTGTCAAACACCACCTTTTTGGTCCGTGGAACCACATAAAGCATGGGAATGATGGGCCGAGGCTTAAACTCTTCTTCCTCAACTGGTGCCTCTGAGGGCTGGATAACGTTCAGGGGAGCTGGGGGCAAGCTCTTTTCTGCTGCGGATGACGAGGGTGCTGCTGTGGGTATCGGTGGCCGTGCTGCTGGTGCCTCTTCTTCTGCCAGTTGTTGCTGTGATGCAGCTGGTGGCACTGGAAGCGGTGGCTGCTGCTGCAGAAGAGGTTGAGGTGCTTGCAGATGGTGCTGGTGTTGATGGAGAATATGTTTCTTCTTCCTCTCACCTTTCACTTTTGGAGGACGGGCCTTTACTTTGCAGTCACCTGTTTCAAGAAATAGGCAACACTGAACTTTGTATGTCAAGGTTTCTGGGCATTTAATTCTCTTCCCCTTTTACCAAACACCTCCATGCTGGGCTAACACCTTACATCATGGTCCTATTTGTCCATTCAAACAGGCAAATTGAAGGCTGTAGATACCTTCAAATGCACCTCAGCACTGACTTGAAGCAGCCTACTTTAGAAATAAAAGGCTCAGGTCTTTCCTATGGATTGTTTAATTCTTGGCTGGACTAGAAAGGCTGCTAAAACGAATGCCACCTCTGAGAGAAAATATCTATCCTCTAGAAACTGGACAGAGAGCAATAAGACCTGTAATATATTATATCAGTCCTGACTTAGACAAAACCAATCACCTCCCTGAACAAAAATGATCCTGTGCAAGTAATTCACAATCCCCAATTCAAGTGCCTAATTTACACAGTCAATAACAACTGACTAGAAGATTAAACAAAACAAAGCACCTCAATATCCTCCATCTTTCCCTTTTCAGTAGGGAAAGCGCAAGTTATCAGAACACAACGCATTCATGCCAGAAATCCTCCTACTTTAAGGACGAGTACCAATCAAGGCATGCATTTCTGTACCTAGACAACTTACTTGCTCTTTTACGCTTAGACAAAAACCTAACCTGCCAAACATACCTGCTTGTCTTTTCTGCCATTAAACCCACACGAGCAAAATAACACGCCTCTAGACCTCGCCCTTCAAAGATCTTAATTTAAGAAAAGTCACAGTTGCACAAAAAGACAGGCTGGTCCTGTGTTCGGCAAAGTCTGAAACGATTAACAATCTGTATTTCTAGGTTTCTATATAACTACTTTGCTCTGACCTCCAGACCACCCCCATTTACTGTTCCCTCTACGCACAAGCATAGCTCTTATCGCAGTATTACCATGTGTCAGCACATCCAATAGCCCTGAGAAATGAAGAACAAAGATATCTGAATGGTTATTACCAAAAGATTTCTACTGTAAGGCCCTCAAAAGAAGCCTTTAAAGCATGAATCAAGTACAGCAATGAACCAAGTCTATTACAACCATCATGCCAAAACCGGTTACTGAGATACACTTTCCACACACTTGCTCCATTCACCCCCTTCTTTCCTCCTGGCTTACTACCACTCATTTCATCTGCATGGAGTTGCAGCTCTCTTATACGGCTGCAAAAGGCAAAACTCTCCGTGAACAGACAGACATTTCCACAGAGGCAGGAACCACCCATAAAAGCCTTCCCCACCTCTCTTCCCAATATAACTCTGCTGAAAGAGCCAAACAGCCTGATTTTAGAGCATCCCATGGCAGTCACAATTCAAACTCCTACTGGCCCTCGACTGAGTGTCTCTAGGTCTGGACAGGAGATGCCTTCGCTGCTTGCCTTATCCCATCTACAGTGATGTATGTTCCCCTTGCTCACCCCTTCCCCCTTTCACGAATAACGCTATCAGTTCACTCAAAGACAAGTAAATAACAGATGCTCCACAGAGAGCTGCCAGCACCCAATTTGTTTCATAAGAGATTGTTTTTCACCTGCAGACACTGTCACTAGATGACTCTGCTCCAAAAGGTCACTTCCCCACTAACACGATGGTGAGGGGAGGAAGACAGAGACTGTTCACCCCAATCATGCAGATTTACCAATCCCAACCTCCTCAGGCTCTTCCAGTAAGGATGAGACCAAAGCCTAGCAGCCAAACTTAGCAAACAGAAAATCAGATAAGCCGTCACACATTACTGTGATATCTGAAGGAGGCAGGGGGTGAAAAGACAAGGAGGATAACCCCACGATGAGAGGAAGTGCTGAAATCTCTGCAGAAATCTTCTAGCAGACACCTGAACCCAGACATTTCCCAGAAGACTGCTCTGATGACTTCATTTACGCTAATTTATAAGAACGGCAACAAGTCCAGCCCAAATAGTTATTGCTGTACTCGTGTAGGCAGTCCCTCAGATAAACTGGTTTGTTCTATCACAGAGAAAGTAATATTGAATTTCCTTAGAGAAACAAACGTATTGAATGAAAGTCCAATTGGATTTCTCCCCAGTCCCACAAAACCAGATCATATTTACTCTCTATACACTCAGACCATTCTCTGCCCAACAACAAAACAAATGCCATTCACTAGCTTTACTGACTTCTAAATGGGCTAATTTGACAGCAGCTGGCATACACAACTTTGTTTAAAAGTTTCTGCGTTAAGATGAATGCAGTAGTTTGCACGTTTATCTGTAAAATCAGAAGCCAGCAAAAAGTGAAGCGAGATCCGAAGGCCCTATCTGGCTATCATGAATACTTCTGGAAAGGAAAGGGAACTGCACGTATAAATAAATACGGCAGGTTAGCAGAGCAATCCCCGTCAGCCACCCTTCCGCTACAGGAGGAAGGCATAAGCAGCAGAGCTAGTTCGCCTGGAAAACACTACCGTAACAACAGGTTTTGGTGGTGGGAAAACTGGCTTGCCTGGGGATAATTTGAAATGCTACACTGAGTTCACTGAAGTTGCAGGTACTCAATACCTTGGAGGTGAACAGCGGTGATGGTGGGGAAAACCACTTACATAGAAGCTTACGCTGTAGCTTTGGGCAACGAGTTTATAAAAAGCTGCTATCAGACTGCAGGCTTCATCTGCTACAGCATTATCCCCAGGTATCAGGCACGGACAATTAGAGATAGACTTTAGCATCAGTAATTAAGGCACAACTTTCAGTCAAATAGCTTGTGCTGTCAACAGTTCAAAAAGTAACTGCAAAATGGACTTATTAATCTAGCAGTAGCATAAGCACAGAGACAAGAAGAAACTGAAACCAGGAGAGTTTCTCCAGTACATTTCTCTAAATGGCCCTTCATCTTTCAAGAACATATCTGTGTTTCTGTAACAGTTTCACCAAAGGGGTTTTCTCCAGTCCACACAGGAGACGGCTGTGCTGCAGACGAAGTAATCAAAGATCATTCCATCATCCCGGGATTCCTCCTAAACATCGAGGTCACATTTTCACTTTCAGCAGTATTTTGTTCCTTCTAGGAAGACAATACTACCCTAAAGCAATCCCTACATGCCCAGGGTTTATATACTATATATTACCTACCCTAACAGAATAGGCTAACACGACTGATACAAGAGCAGAAAGCAAAAGTGGTAGAAAAATACATCCTACTTGCTTCTAGGGGTTGTGTCTGCTCAGTTATTATTAGCACTTCATAGAACACATTATAAAGTGTGTGGAGGGACACTGACTTCTAGAAGATTTCTGAAAGGGCTGTTTTTTCCACACGATGCTATAAAGTCCAGAAACAGCTTCCAGGACCAACTCTTCAGCTATGATGTTGTTTTGTGGCAATCTCTCCGTCACATTAACCCTCCTCACCACTTAAGGACTTTACACTGCCTGCTTAAGCAGCATGGAAGAAAATAAAGGGAAAAAGTCAGAGATGTGTGCCACTTGACACATGCCTAATTCTTGAGACCCTGCCTGAAGTAAAATCCTCATGTAGCAAACGGTCATCTGAAAATCAGTTATGCACCAATTTGTATGCTATTACATACAGATACTAGCAGAAACAGACTTTTGGCACAAACCTGAAGTTTTTGGTTCTGGCTTACTGGCATCTTGATCATGGTATTAGTTCATGCAATTACGTACTTAGTTTGCAATGGCAACGCTAAAAGGATATGTGGGAATGACATTTATTGAAATGTGGTGGAAAGTAATATGCAACTGCTTTGCAGTCAGGCATCTCACTGCTTCTCTTCACATCATAAAAAAAGAATTCTCCTGTGAGATATAGGGGCTTGCGGCCCAGCTCTGCAGCACTCTTAAGACACCCAGCATAACAGATAACACCTGCTGACTCACGGGATGTACTCATGCTGCTTAGCACACTCAGAGAAGAGCAGAGCTTGAAAACTCACCTCTTCAATTTCAAGTCTCAAGACAACCTGCTGTTGAATTCTAAATGGATTAATACCAATAAACTATGAATATAAAATTTACTCATAAAAAATAAAAGAAAACACTGTAAGGTATGGGGGTGAGAAATCCTTAAAATCCAGGTATTAATACTCAACTAGTCCAAATAACATGAGGCATAAGACTTATTTCTTTGAAACTAGCAATGGTTACTTAAGAATTTTGTTCTTCCTACCCCTCCCCTCAAGGTCATCATTTCTGGTATAAATAGGAAATCCAGCCAAATTAAAACCAAAGCAAAAGAAAAAGGAAGTGAAGGAGGGGAAAAGCTAAACTGCCACGAGCAGGGCCATTCAAACAGGAACTATTTTCTTTTTCAAGCTGAAACTTAAGGCACTTGCAAGAGATAATACAGACAGTAGGATGCAGAAGACTAGAGAAGTCAGTGGTACTTAACTGCTATATCGCATTAAAAAACTTGTGTATTTGCTAACAGCCACATTGCACACTAGACCCCTCCGAAACTGCAGTACCAACAGTCTAGTTCTAGTGATGCTTTCTTCAGTGGTGCTGAAAATAAGTTTGTCCTTCCCATGCAACCAGTTAAAGAGTTTTTAACATGAAATCTAAGTGCATGATTTAGAGCTTATCCAGCTAGAACAGAGCTTTTCTTCTTTCTCTGCCATTCTAAGGATCTCAGATCTGTTCTTGTCACTTATCTCTTGCCTCTCAAGGGACACGAGTATTTTCAGGCCATTCAGTACAAGCATTAACTGTTACATTTGTACAAGAGTTAAGAGCATACAGCTTAACACAGTGCTGCCACTTGCAAGCTAGGGCAAAAGAAATGAACTGCTCTCACTGTGCTACTCCTGCTCTGTATGGCAATACTCTTCAAAGTCCTTATCGCCCATGAAAGGAGAAAGTACATGGCCTAGCTAAGACATCACAGATCTGAATCAAGGCCTCGATTCTCTTCCTAGAGCTTCCATAGATTTCCTGTAAGATCATGATCAAGGTTCTTCAAGTAGTTTGCTGCATCACTTTCCTCCAAATGCAAAACAAGTACAGGAAAAGGATATGCCATACATGAAAGTGAATTCACTAGCATTTGTGAAATACTTGAGCACCTCCAAAAGAAAGTAGATCATAAACATATCAACCACTTGACCATGCACATTAGAAGAAAAACTTACTGCCAACAAGAATTGCACTGTTTCACACAGACTCAAGAAAAGAGCATCACAAAAAGAGTCTCTAGAAAGAGGCTGAGGTCTTGCTTCTAATAGACTTATGTTCTGTTAGGAAGATATTGCACACAAAACAAAAACCAATATATTCTCCATTTTTGCAACAGGCCTTTAGGCATATTTTGCCCTAAGCCATGGTGTATTCCAGGAAACAGCTTCAAAGAATTTTACAGACAAGGTTTCCTAAGATAGAACTATAATAACAAGAAATACTATGCCCATTCCACAGATGTGTTCATGAGCAGAGACAGGTTAAGTAACTTATCAAAGGTTGCACATAAATTTAGCAACAGATCTTTGAAAAACAGCCCTGCCACTATTTCCAGCTCCTACTCCTATTCGCTATCTCCTGAACAGCTTGGAATCTGTGCTAACTTATTTGCACAGGAAACACAGGACTGGGGACCAGTCCTTGTCACAGACTGGTATTAGCTTCAGCCATGCAAAGAAAGCTGAAAATCTTCCCTCCTATAGAGGGTACTGTAGACTTGAAGAAAAACAAAGCTTTCAGTCAAACCGTAACTTCCACTCGTGCAGCAGCTGTGGATCCCACACAACCTAAGGCTGAATTTATTCATAGCATTCGTAAGAAATGGGGAGGAGGGGAGGGAAAGGGGTAAAGATTTATTACATAAGGGAGTGCTCAAATCTTTCCCTTTCAGAGTAGGACACAAAATATATTTATTTGTTTCTTTATGAAATATTTAAAAATATTTCTCCCCTAATATATAATTTTACAAAACTTTAATAGTCTTGGCAGAACTTCCAAGCCCAGCCAAGGAAGCTATTTGAACTGAATTCTTAAAGAGAGGAAAAAAATCAATTGCTGCTGTAAATGATGGTGTATTTCAGTAAGCACAGATTTAATATTGGGAAAGACTCCACTGGTATTTCAACAGAAATAAACAACACTAGACACATTATTTACAGATGTGCTTTAGAGAAATAGCTTGCCCCAGATCCTCACTGAAGCAATCTCTCTTCAGTGAGCAGGGCTCTCACCTTCTCCTCCCTCAGCCACTTTGCTTCTCTCCTCTTCCTCTAGATCTGGCCCTCTTTTCAGTTCCTCTTTTACTTTCACATCTTCCAAGGCAGTTTCAATAGCCATGACATCCCCAAGAGACTTCTGATCCTCCGTTTTATGTCTTCTGGGTTGACTTCTTTTTCTGTGAGACCTAGAAGGACAGAAGTACAATTTGACATAAAACAACAGCCTTCGATATACAAAATGATCACTGACTTAAAGAGCTGAATAAAAAAAAAAAAGTATCTTCTTTAGAGAGAAAACGCAAGCTAACACTAGGCTACAGGGCAAAATACATATCTGAAAGGAGACAGATGAACCTTGCATAACACAAAATTTAAGATCCATTCACAACAGCCGCGAATTGTCCTGGCTTCTTGAAGAGCCTTTTCCTCCATTAACAAGGTAAGCTAATAAGCTGTAGTTAAAACGGTTTTAATCATATTTTAAGCCTGCTCTGCTTGCATTTCAAAACATGTATGAAAACTTGCCTTTCTTTCATCCTCTGCCTCCATTCCCTCATTTTGTCTCATTCTGTATGTGCTTCCCTTCAGCAAATTGCTGGAAGTCTACAAAGCCTCATGTTCCAGCTCTCAAACACTACCCAGCACTGCCAGTTTTTAAAAATATGGTATAATGAATACTTACAACATAATCAATAGACAGCCTGTGATTTTTTTAGTAGTAATTCACAGGGTCCAAGGCCTATGAAAAAGTCCAACTAAAAAAAGCGCATATTAATATGATCTAATACTAACAACCTAATAGTAACACTACTCTTTATAAAGAGTCAATGTCACTAAAACAAAGAGATTACAGTAACCACAGTGCAGAGGTAAATTGAAATTCAGAAGTCAGGATAATCTCTTTCGGTTAGGAACCGCATTTTATTTTGGGATTTTTTTTTTTTTTAAAAAGGATCTGTCAAATAGATCCTTGAATGCTGGGTCTAAGCCTAACAAGCTCTCTTCTTCAAACGAGACCAATTCAGAGAGCTGTAATTTCTATCACCATTTTTAGCATGGAGAGATTTCTTTTGAAAGCAGTGTCTTCCATATGGCCCCCTGTTCCATGCCCTTGCATCTAACATCATGTAACAAACCGTAAAACGCAATGACACCGCATTCCAACTCATCTGCCTGAAACTCTGCAAGAGCTGAAATTCAGCTTCTCATCCTCAGAGCCCAGAAACTCAGCTGCTAATTAGATTTGGAGTACAATGAAGTTAAGAGCCCTTAATCAGGCAACCAACAAAGAAGGAAGAAAAAAAAAAAACATTCAACCTGAGATGAATGATTAATAGAAAAGAAAGTTAATCCATATGCACAGTAATTTATAATTGCTAGACTCTAACCATATGGTAGCCCTCCAAGTATAGATGTTAAATTCACACCTGTAAGACATTCATTAGCAGGAACACACAGTTGAACCCAGAAGGATCAACTTTTCTCTTCACTGAGACTCTAAAAACATACCACCTTCTCCAGAGGGGGAAAAAAGAGAAAAGAAAAAAAAGAAAAAAGGAAAAAAAAGAACCTATAGAACTTCAGTGTTTAGAACTTTCCACGGCTGAAAAAGAAAGCACTGGAGTAGAATCGAGTGTTACAAGCTATATTTGGTAAAAGGTTTATTTTATTCCTGTTTAGAGACGTGGGACAAAAATTGAATCGCAAAGCTTTATACTTGGAGTAGGCAAATATCTTTTTACAGCGTTTTTTCTCCTCACTCTGAAGTTGTGGAAAAACGAGCAGAGGAAGAGAGAGCACATCCATTTTAAGAAACTGTGCTTCCAGAACTACAAATTGAAGTGTGCACATTTCCAGAAGAGAAGATGCTACATATCTGACATAATTCCCATACCAGAAACGGGCTGACTTTTTGGGAACTAGACTAAAACAGTTTCTTGCTAAAGCCATAAAGCAAATAAAGTTGAGTTTTTCAAGGTAGAGTATGAATGATCTTAGAGAAGAACGAACTTAGCTCTGTGCAGAGTTTAAAAGCTGCTTTTTCCAAGAGAGCTGGCAAGAAGCAGTGTTTGTTCTCTTTGAAGAACAGACCACAAAGCGACTTATTTTAAGTAGATACAGCTGTGAAGAGGTTTGGACAGAGGTGAATCCCATTCCCCCAGCAAACTCCATCTTGCTTAGGCAAGTCAATCTTCAAGTAAAATTATGTCTTTCCAAGACATAAGCATGGGACAGAGACCATGACTAACTGATGTCATCAAACAAAGAAATATCTATGTTCAACACCTTGAACCCTGCTTCAGGATAATACTGAAATTAAACTAGGAAACAATTAACAGATAAGGGAAAAAAAGCAGATAGGTCTTTTACAGGAGCTCAGATTAAAATGGGTCTCACAGATAAGCAATAGGCTTAAAAAGGGAAAATAACACTCTGTAGTCATAGAGTAACTTTGCATGTGCAAACATTATATATACCTAAGTAACCCTTAAGATTCCTAGGAAGGAAAAAGATTCCCAATTTCCAGATGTGGAAGAAAGACATCAAGGGACCCAAAGGACTTCAGACAGTCATAGCCCAAAGAGCATAAAATCACAGCTTCTGAATGTCAGACTACCCTCCTTTCCTGAAGCTCACTATGGAAGGACGACAATATTTTAGGAAGATAATTTCTGGAGTGGCGCAATACTGCTGAGATCAATCATCCGACAAAATACCTCATTTATCACATTGTTAGGACCATGCATTTAGTGGGGAAAACACCCATTCCCTATTTCAGCATTCTGTAAAGTAATGGACAAATCACTGCATGTAGAAAAGGCAAGGCACAGGACAGACCCAAAACAAGACTAGGTGACAGAAAACTCCTGAAGGACAAAGACCAGTTCTAGAGAAAGAGACAAACTCCTCTTAGCATATGCCACATTTGCCTTTGATACAACACCTAAACGCACCCATTATCATCAATTTATTAGTTTTTAAACAGTCATTCGGAGTCGTTGTCAAAGATGGCACCAGAAACTTGAAGTCTATTTAACGCTTTGCAAAGACAAGGTAAAGAAGTCTGAGAAACCCTGATGCCCAAAGATTTTCTGTGTCCTTTCAAGGAAGCAGATGTTGAAAGTCTGGAACAAAAAACTATTTGAACCAGAAGAACACTTTAAGAGTTAATACGATAAGAAACTTTACAGGAGGAGGAGAACTGTCATTTAAGTAGACGAGGGAAGTCACATACCGGTGTTTGTTGTCCTCTTCCTCATCTCCTATCCTACGAAGCAAGATTCCAACAGTAAAAGGTTAGCATGCCAAACTTTCAATGCAAGCAAACTGTAACATGTACCAAATACGAACTTGTAGAAAATTAATACAGAGGTAAAAGGAAGCACGAGAAGGTATGCATAGAGACCCCTTTTTGCAACTGAAAATTCTTTTCCTCCCACTTTCTGATAAGTGAAACTAGAAATATGTACTATAAATTTTTTGTCTTATAAGATAAAAAGATGGGATGCATGGGGGAAACACAGAACACGCACTTCAGAGAACACGTACTTCTACAGTACTTAGAAGAAAAAGAAGAGTGAGTGAGCATACTACCCAGGAAAATGGGGGGGGGGGGGGGGGAGTGGGGAGGGCAAGGTTGAACTGTTCCAAACTGAGAATTAAAGGGTTTAGAACTTGAACTAACAACAAAAAAATTTAGAAATTTCTAATGCAAGTTTCATAAGTTCCGAAATTAAAATCAAACACAATGCCTAGAGAGCAGTGGCCCTACCACCCTTTTAAATGTATTAACACTTTTTTTTTTTTTCTTTTTACCTGCGAAGCAATTTAGCCTTCAAATCAGCCTTCGTCTCATTCCAGGCATCCAGTTCCGGGCTAGTCAGAGCTGTGGGTTTCATGTGGTCCAGGACAGCAATATCTTTTCCTTGTTTCCATAAATCGTAACGTTCTGGTTGCAGAACCCTCACAAAGACATCCATGGAAATCTTCACCATGTCTTTGCGGCAAGTACACTGCAAGAGATTTCCAGATACCAACACCATGTCAGAGCAGAGGAATTTTTTTTTCTTTTTTGTCAGCCGAGCCTTCCCTTCTCCTGAGGCAAATTAACGTTCTACAGATTTTTTCTGTAAGGCCTACAGCCGGTTGCTCTAGGAGCTGCGATCACGTGTATGCGGCTATTTCAACGGTAAGCATCACCTCTACCTGCCCTTGGCAAAACCAGAGACAGCACAAGGTCTCCCACTCTCTGGGGGTAGCTGAAGCCTCTGTTCCTAACAATTCTCCTTCTCCCTCCAAGCTCACCAAATTATCCCTTTCTAGCAACTGATACACAGTATCCTCATCTACTACATTTTACAGACATTAGACTAATAATTTTGGTCTCTACAGATCAGGTCTGAATTTGATCTGAAACCTAGGTCTCCCTATTAGCCTGTCTCTTTTGGAGTTTCTCAGGCTGAAAAGAGATTATTAATGCCACTTCATAACTGAAGAAGCCCTCAAGGAACAAAAGCCTAACCTAACGACCACGGCAGTTATACTTCATAATTATAAATCAAGATGCTACATATAAATCCTTCACAAATCCATAAACTGCAACACTGAAAATTAAGAACTGTTCGCTGCTGGCAAAGAGAGATTGTTTGCATGTAGGGATGAGGTGTACTCAGCTGTGTCCGGCTATCAAAATTTAATAGGTTACTTAAAAAAAAAAAAAAAAAAAAAAAAAACAGAAAAAGGGAAAAAGGGGGGAGGGGGGGG